TTTAATCCCTGGTGTACACTTTCTGCTGGACATTAAGGCACAAAGAGTTCATTTACCCATCATTTTCTTTTTTTCTTTTTTTTTTCATTTGAATATTGCTGTCTGAATTTTCTGAATTTAAGTGAAAAATTATTAGTGTCTCATGTTTTTTCTGTACCATCTTGGTACCAATTTAATAATATTCTTTACCTTATCAAAAATGAAAGATTTATATCTCACATGTTTCCCTGGACCATTGATGTGATGCATTAAATTTTAGCAATTATTTTCTCAATTTAGCAAATGTTGCATATACTTAGCTTGCCACAGCCGAAAAACAACTTCAAATCTGCAGTACCTTTCAGATACCTTAATATCCGTTTTACTGCATCCCAATGTTCCTTTCCATGATTCGAAAAAAATCTACTAACAGTACCAACGACATATGCAATATCTGGTCTAGTACAAACCATAGCATAGATCAAACTACCAACAACAAAAGAGTAAGGAATACGAGACATCTCCTTTTTCTCTTCATCAGTTGATAGGCTCTGACTAATACTCAATTTAAAGTGTATAGCAAGATGAGTTAAGAATTGCAATTCTGGATTTATTCTTGCCAATAATAAGCATATCCTCTACATAAAGCAATAAGATAATAAAATCATCATCATAGAACTTCTGGAAGAATACACAGTGGTCTGAAGAAATTTTCTTATGCCCTTGTTTTTGTATGACAGATTCAAACTTCAAATACCATTGCCGTTGAGCTTGTTTCAATCCATACATGCTCTATTTTCAATTTGCAGACATAATTTTCTTTTCCCTTAGTTACAAAACCCTATAGGTGGCTCCATATAAATCTCTTAATCTAAATTACCATGAAGAAAAACAGCCTTTACATCCATCTGCTCAACCTCTAAATCTAGACTCGGGGCTAAGCCACGAATAGAAGACATCTTCACAACAGTGGAGAAAATTTCATCAAAGTCAACTCCCTTCTTCTGGCCAAAGCTTTTAACAACTAATCTCGCCTTGTACCTAGGCGCAGAGGTATATTGATCTTGCTTTATTCTGAATGTCCATTTGTTTGATAAACTCTCTTACCTTTCAGCAATTTCACTAACTCATATGTGCCATTCTCATGGAGGACTTCATCTCATCTTCCATGACTTCTATCTACTGATCTTTGTGAGTATCCTGCACGACTTCATCATAACTCTAAAGTTCTCCCATGTAAGTTAAAAATATATATTCATTAGGAGGATAGCACATGGATTTTTGCTTCTCCCTTGTAGATTTTCTAAGCGAGGTTTCATGAGCATTCGAAGTAGTTACCTGAGCAGGAATTGGTTGCTGATCAACCACAACTTCATTAACCGGAGCATCCATAACATCTACACCATGATGATTATTTTGATCTTGATCATTATCTTTGTTATTGTCTTGTGTTCCTTCATGTGCAATACGTGCCTTCGCAATAGAAACTGGAGGATCAATATCAACTCAGCTCTCATTATTCTGAGAATCTATCTTCTCAGCTTTGTCAATATGGTCAATAGTCTGGTTTCCAAAGAATATTGCATCACGACTTCTAATAAGTTTATTATCAACTGGATCGTAAAAACGATACCCAGACTCATCTTGACCATAACCGATAAAGATACACTGCTTAGTTTTGACATCCAACTTCGATCTCTCATCTTTAGGAACATGCACACACGCTTTACACCCAAAAACTCTCAGGTGATCATAAGAAACATCTTTGGCAAACCAAACTCTATCTGGGACGTCACCATCCAAAGCAACAACAGGAGACAAATTGATAACATAAGCAACTGTGTTAGGTGCTTCCGCCCAAAATGTATTTGGAAGTTTAGCCTCTGAAAGCAAGAATTTAACTCTCAACTAGAGTTCTATTTTCCTCTCTGCCAAACCATTCAATTGAGGCGTCTTGGGCGGAGTTTTCTGATGATGAATTTCTTGTTCTCTATAATAGTTATCAAAGGGACCACAATATTCACCACCATTGTTAGTGCGAATATATTTTAATTTCTTTCTCCTATGTCTCTCAGCTAAGGCCTAAAATTCCTTAAACACGTCAAGTGCTTGATCTTTGTATTTCAAAAGATACACCCAGAGCTTGTGAGTATGGTCATCAATGAAGGTTACAAAGTAAAGTGCATCACCTTTTGACTTTACTTTAAAAGGACCACACAAATCAGAGTGTACTAGCTCCAATAATTCAGGCTTTCTTGAAGGAGGATGGCTATGAAAGGAAACGCTTTTTTGTTTGCCAACTAAATAATAGACACACCTTTTCAGCTTTGCTTGTTTCACTCCAGAAAGCAAACTTTTCTTAGCTAAACACGTAATCCCCCTCTCGCTCATATGACGCAGTCTTCTGTGCCACCATTCTGATGAAGTTTCACTTTCCACTAGATTTATGGAGTCATTAAGAATAGAGCCTTGTGTAACATATAAATGAGAAGACTTGACTCCTCGAGCCACTACTAATGAGCCTTTTGTGAGCTTCCATTGGCGCCATTAAAGAGGGCATTATGGTAACCTTCATCTTCTAATCTTCCTCCAGAGATCAAATTAAAAAGAAAGTCTGGAGCATGCTTGACATTTTGAAGAACTACTGTTGAACCATTATTAGTTTTCAAATAAATTGTACCAATACCAAACACCTTAACCTCACTAGCATTGCCTATTTTTAACACTCCAGAGTCAGTAGGAATATAAGATGAGAAAAAGTCTTTTCTTGGTGTGACATGTGAGGTAGCTCAAAAATCTACTATTTAGCTCATCTCATGGGATACCAAATTGATGACGTTTTCATCATAAGCAAAAAAAAGGTCATCTCAAATAATAGCAGCAACATTGTTCTCGTTATTTTCAACTTTCTTTCCTTCTCTATTGTCTTGCTTCAACTTTTGGCAGAATCTTTTAATATGTCCTTTCTTGCAACCACTGTGGTTGCACGAATAATTCTGATATTTGGACCTTGACTTGCTTATGCTTTTATCTCTGTTCCTCAAACCTCTTGTTCTATCTCTCCCCCGGTCTTCTGTAACCAAAACATCATTTTGTGAGGACGAACCCTGAGATTTACTCTTTACTTCCTTGTTCAACACACCACTCTTGGCATATTCCATGGTCATCTTACCACCAGGAGCTGAATTTGTTAAAGAAAGACGAAGTGTTTCCCAAGAATCTGCAGAGTATTGAGAAGCCAAAGTCCTTGTATCTCATCTTCAAAATTAACTCTCACTCCAGACAACAGATCAAGGACACCCTGAAAATCATTTATATGATCAAAGATAGGATTGTCCTCCTTGTATTTAATGGTCATCAATTGCTTTAGCAGGAACAACTTGTTGTTCCCAGTTTTTGAAGCATAAAGAGTCTCTTGCTTTTCCCACAATGATCTCGCATGTGTGTCATTCACAATATGGTTGCGAACATTGTCTTTAACCCATTGTATATATATCCACATACTTGTTGGTAATCGAAATTACAATCTTCATCAGATATACTCTCGGGTTTATGAGCTGCAAAAGTGGGTAGATGCATCTTCTTCACAAATAACAAATCTTTCATCTTTCTTCTCCAAACATTATAATTGCCCTCATTTACACATACCATCTTGTTCATATTCGCCTCCATTCCGTAAAAAACCCTAGATAAATAACCAAGACTCTGATATCACTGTTATGTAGAGGAAGAGGCAAACCCGAAAATAAAGGCGACAATGAACACCAAATTTTAACGTGGAAAATCCTTCAAATCGAAGGTAAAAAATACGGGATTACAAAGATCCAAAAGACTCCACTATAACAATAAGAGGGTTAAAAGGTTCTCCAAATTGGCTACACAACAAGTGCCAAACACGGAGCAACAATAAATCAATTGAAGAAAGAGAAGAAATAAAAAAAAAAAAGGAGTAGCTGTTCAAGGCTCAAAATCGGTTGCTACAGGCCTCCAAATCCGATCTCCACCGTTCAAATCAAAGATCGAGATGTTAGGAACATTCAGTCAAAATTTCAGCCCGATCCAACTGTGAACGAATCAAAAAATGTAATTTAGGAACACTCAAATCAAAGATCGAGATGTTAGGAACACTCAGTCAAAATTTCAGCCCGATCCAACGGTGAATTAATCAAAAAACGTAATTTGAAGCTGGCTGGTCGGAATAAACCCTGCAGCAAAACAAACTCTTTTTCTTCTTTCTTCTCTCTATATGGAAGTTCTCTAAAAAATCACTCTTATGTGCTAAAGTCTTTCAAAGACTTATATCAATGATCATAGAGCAATTCTCCAAGGCTGCTCTATTTATAGATAATGAGTGGTGCCTTTTCTTATAGCCAAAACGAACTTCAAATAGGAATAAAATTGAAATCCTATTCTTAATAGGAATGGAAACCAAAAGAGAATAGGATTAGACCATTGAGCCTTTGACTGGACAACATAGGCATGGCCCAACACGTTCCATACACCTCTGAGAAGTAGTGAGTGGAGGTGGCATTTTATATGTTTATTTTAAGTTATTCCATGAATATGATCTTAGCTGGGTCAGATGCTATACGATTGCTAGTCATATAGCCTTTTGTAGTTTCTTTTTTCCTTTGATAAACTAATCTTTGTAGCTTATAGCCCGAATATATACATTTTAATCCCTAGTGTACACTTTCTGTTGGACATTAAGGCACAAAGAGTTCATTTACCCATCATTTTCTTTTTTTCTTTCTTTTCATTTGAATATTGCTGTCTGAATTTTCTGAATTTAAGTGAAAAAGATATTAATGTCTCATGTTTTTTCTGTACCATCTTGGTCCCAATTTAATAAAATCTTTTACCTTATCAAAAACGAAAGATTAATATCTCACATGTTCCCCTGGACCATTGATGTGATGCATCAAATTTTAGGAATTATTTTCTCAATTTAACAAAACATTCTAGCCCATGTTGCATATACAACTGAAATGAAATTCACTTAATCATTTTTTTTAACTCAGGGAATAGTGAGTTTTCTTCTGACGAGGATGCACATGTTATTGCTGATTGTGTCAAGGTATATACTTCTAAACCTAAGTAAATAGGGAAACTCTTAGGTTAGATATTTGTAGCCATTTCCTTCTCCAATTGCTAACTTCTCTGCTAAAATTCTTCAGTACATTCTGCGGGAGTTACCGTCATCTCCAGTTCCTGCATCTTGCTGCAATGCCCTCCTGGAAGCATTTCGTAAGTTTTTCTTTTTTATCTCAATGCTGGGTTCCTTTGACCCTTTATTTCCTTCTTGATGTAACCGAGATCATATAGAAGAAAGAAGAAGAAATGTTTTTCATACTCCCTGCATCACATTTTATATGACATTGTTTGACTAGGCTTTAAGATGCTAATATGAATTATACATTGTATTAGTGATAGTGGAACAAAATATTAAATCGTAATGTTAGTTTGATACAGAAGACATCACATAAAATTTTGAAATTGTTTTAATTGAATTCTTGAAATTTGGTAAAAGTTGCATAGTAATAGGATCGTGTCAAACATTTTGAGGCGTTCCAGAAAGACAAAAGTGTCATAAAATTGAAACTTGTGTATATCACTACTTGACTACTGTCTAGCTTATTGTAAGGTTCTGCATAATAATACTCTCTTCATTGAATATATCAGTTCTAGGCTTATATGCTTTCTCTGTTGATTAAATTATTTCAAGATATTTTGAGGATTCATCATGTATTGGCTAGTTTTATGCTGGTATTTAGCCTATCGCAACCCTCCTCTTTTATTCTGGCTTGAGCAAGCTCACACATGTTTAATGAGCCTGAGATTAATTTTAATGGATAAACATGGTCATTGAGGATTCATGTAGCCAACAACTTAATGTCTCCACATTCTTTTAAAGCCTTTTCATTTCAATTGTTTCACATACTTGTCCTTGCCAACATCGGCAAACCGTCAAGGAAGTAAACGGCTTATAATGCCTAAACCTCCAAATGATATCAATGGAATAATAAAAAGGCGAAATACTTGTGGAAAATGGACATGTTAAATGTTCACCGCTTCAGTTGGTCCAGGTTTTACTGGAGATTATAAAGGGAATCTGATGTGACTGATAAAGAAAAAGGCATGCGATGTGTCTTTCGTGCAACAATAATATCATAACATGTCACTCTGTTGTATTACGAACATATATACTAAACTTTCTAAGCCCCAAAAGACTCATAACAAGTCACTATAATGTTCCGAGTATAGCTTTTTTTCTCCTTGAGGTAGGATCCATGTGATACATGCTTACTACCAATATTCCCTTCAAAGCTGCAATCGTGAAATGCATTCCTACCATGCTTAAGAAAATTCCATTTTGATTGGAGTAAATTCAACTTTTTTACAGAATGGATAAATTTTTATGTCAAATACAACTAGGTTAAAGCCACTAGCCAACTTTGGCATAATCATTGTATTGAATACGAATTGTCAGCATACTTCCGACATCTTTTCTAGGTAAATTTATCCTAGAGTTTTGGACTGGAGGAATCATGTTAAATGTATTTATGATCATTGTCAGGAACTGAGCGTGTCAATAGAGTCAATAGCATGCGGTCAGCCATATGTGAGACGTTTCCAGAGCCAAATCGTCGCTTGCTGCAGAGGTTCTTATTACATCTTATCGATTTCATCTGATATTTGCATCTGATGCTTCACGGTTTGTTGGTTCCCATATACCTCATTCTATTATCATTTTTGGTAATATCACCATAACTGCTCCTCCTTCTCTGAGTATTTCATTTTCAAGTACGTAACTTTGAGTTTCCAGTCGAGCTCTATGCATGTAGATATTTATAGAATTGCTAGATACATGTTTAGATATCTATGCTCTTCTCAATGTTGTTAGATTTGCAATCTTTTTTTGCTTTGATTCTTTTGAATCAATTGATTGAACAGCTCTTACGGGACTGTGAGAAAGCACGGGAGAAAAATAGATTATTGATGTTTTAACTATATTACAATGAACCCTATTTATAAGTATACATAATACATAACCTACTCCTACTACATACAAGACTAGGACTCATTATATACATTCACGTAACTATCTAACATTCCCCCTCAAGCCGGTGCATATAAATTATATGTACCGAGCTTGTTACATATGTAACTAATACGAGGACCAGTGAGGGACTTGGTGAAAATGTCTGCAAGATGATCATTCGACTTCACAAACTTTGTAGCAATATCTCTCGAGAGTATCTTTTCTCTGGCAAAGTGACAGTCAATCTCAATGTGTTTAGTTCTCTCATGGAACACTAGATTTCATGCAATATGAATAGTAGCTTGATTATCACACACAAGTTCTATCTGACTGATCTCGCTACTCCTTGAGCAACTGTTTGATCCAAATTAGCTCATATGTTGCCATAACTATTGCTCGATATTCTGCTTCTGCACTACACCGAGCAACCATATTCTGTTTCTTGCTCTTCCAAGACATTACCTCTTACTAAGACACAATATCCAGATGTAGAATGTCTATCAGAAGGTGATCCTGCCCAATCAATATCTTGATATCCGACGATCTGCTCAAGGCCTCGATCCACAAACAATAATCTTTTGCCTGGAGCTGATTTTATATACTGAAGAATGCGGACAACTGCTCCCAATGACATCACAGGGATAATCCATAAAATGACTCACAACACTCACGGAAAGGAAATGTCAGGTCTAGTCATTGTGAGGTAATTTAATTTACCAACCATCCGCCTTTATCTTATGGGATCGCTGAACGGCTCCCCTTGTCCTAGCAGAAGTTTAGAATTCGGATCCATCGGAGTGTCAATAGGTCTACAACCTACCATTCCTGTCTCCTCAAGAATGTCTAAGGCATACTTCCGTTGTGAGATCACAATACCTGAGCTAGACTGAGCGACCTCAATACCCAGAAAATACTTTAGTCTGAAAGTGTTGAAAGAGATGTTGCTTCAACTTAGTAATGTCATCCTGATCAGTGCCGGTAATAACAATATCATCAACATAAACGGCCAGATAAATATAGAAACTTGAAGCAGAATGTCGATAAAACACAGTGTAATCAGCTTCACTATGAGTCATGCTAAACTCCTGGATAACTGTGCTGAACTTACCAAACCAGGCTCGAGGAGATTGCTTTATTCCATAAAATGACCGGTGCAAGTGACATACAAGGCCACTAGATTCCCTTGAGCAAGAAAATCAGGAAGTTGCTCCATATAAACTTCATCTTCAAAGCCACCGTGAATAAAAGCATTCTTAATGTCCAACCGATAAAGAGGCTAATGGCGGACAACAATTATGGATAGGAAAAGGGGGACTGACGCTATTTTAGCCACGAGAGGGAAAGTATCACTGTAATCGATCCCAAGTATCTAAGTTATCCTTTGGCAACAAGACAAGCCTTAAGTGTATCAACCTGGCCATCCGGACCAACTTTGACTGCATACACCCAACGGCAACAAACAGTAGATTTACCTGAAGGAAAAGAAACAAGCTCCCAAGTACCACTCATATGTAAAGCAGACATCTTGTCAACCATAGCATGTCGCCAGCCTCGATGAGACAGTGCATCACCTGTAGACTTAAGGATGGAAACAAAGGTCAAAGAAAATACAAAAGCATAATGGGGTGATGGCAGATGATGATAACTTAAACTGACATACTGGGGATTAGGATTAAGTGTCGTCCGTATACCTTTTCTCTTCGACTAACTAGGAGGAGACAAGTCCGCAGTAGGAGCAGGGTCAGGTGTAGGACGTGAATCAGCTGGGCTTGATTCTGGGGGCGGACGACGACGATAAATCAAGAGTGGTGTTCCTATGGCAGGGGATCTAGGAGGAGCAAATCTGGATTCCTCAACGGTTGGTATGGGTAAGACTTATGTGGTTGAGAATGTAAGAGGAGCTATAGGTGGTGGTGCTGGAGCTAGAGTTGGAGTTATAGATGATGGAGCCGTGGAGGAAGGTGGAGGGGAAGTAGTGGCTGAATCTCCAAAAGATGGAACTGGTAGCACCTCGAAAATGTCTAAGTGACCACCTAGGCTTGTGAATTATGGCTGAGTTTCAAAGAAGGTAACATCAGTAGACATAAGGCACCGCTGGAGGTCGGGTGAGTAGCATCGATGTTCCTTTTGCGTTCTCGAGTAACATAGAAATACACACTTAAGAGCTCGAGGAGCTAACTTATCTTTTGTTGGAGTCAGGTTATGAACAAAACATGTGCTCCCAAAGACACAGGGTGGAAGAGAGAGCAAGGGTGAGTGAGGAAACAACACAGAGAATGAAACTTGATTCTGGATAGCTCAGGATGACATACGATTAATAATATAACAAGATGTGAGAACTGCATTCCCCCAAAAATGCAGCTGAATATGAGATTGTATGAGTAAGGTACGAGCAGTGTCAATAAGATGCCTATTCTTCCTTTCTGCTACCCCATTTTGTTGAGATGTGTATGGACAAGATGTTTGATGAATGATCCCATGAGAGTTCATGAACTGCTAAAATGGAGAAGTCAAATACTCTGGGGCATTGTCACTACGAAATGTGCGACTAGGCCCGTTTTTGTTTTCCTTGGTTATGGATGCATTGGCGCGTCACATTTAAGGGGAGGTGCCATAGTGTATGTTATTTGCGAATGATATAGTTCGGATTGACGAGACGCGATGAGGTATTAACAACATGCTGGAGGTTTGGAGACGGACTCTTAATTCTAAAGGCTTCAAGCTGAGCAAGACCAATACAGAGTACTTGGAATGCAAGTTCAGCGAAGTTACTCTGGAAGCGAACATGGATGTGAGGCTTGATACACAAGTCATCCCCAGGAGAGAAAGTTTCAAGTACCTTGGGTCTATAATACAAGGTGATGGTGAGATTGATGAGGATGTCACGCATCGTATCAAAGCAGGATGGATGAAGTAGAGGCCCGCTTCCGGTGTCTTGTGTGATAAGAATATGCTGTTGAAACTTAAAGGTAAGTTCTACAAGGTAGTAACTAGACCGACTATGTTGTATATGGCAGAGTGTTAAGAACTCTCATATCTAAAAGATGAAAATAGCTGAAATGAGGATGTTAAGGTGGATGTGTGGGCATACCAGGTTAGATAAGATTAGGAATGAAGCTATTCGGGATAAGGTAGAAGTGGCCACTGTGGAGGATAATATGCGGGAGGCAATGTTGAGATGGTTCGAGCATGTTAAGAGGAGAAGCGTAGAAGCCCCAGTTAGAAGGTGTGAGAGGTTAGCCTTAGTGGTATCTGGTATCAAGAGGGGTAGAGGTAGGCCTTAGAAGTCTTGGAGAGATGGCGCAGCTGGAGCTTACTGAGGATATGACCCTTGATAGGAGGGTGTGGAGGTCGAAGATTAAGCTAGAAGGTTAGTAAGTAATCTAGTGTTTCCATTTGTTTTCTCAGTTTGCTAGATTAGTGTTAATATAATATCTTTTTGGCAAAATGCATAAGTTACCCCCGAATTAAGGACCAAATCCCTGTTGCACACTTTTTGCGAACAAAAAATACCTTATACACTCAACCTTTTCAAAGTGTATCGAATACACATCTCTTTTGCTACGTGGCATGCGCGTGTTAGTTACACAAAAGAGGCGAGTGAGTGCTAAAGATTTTGTGTCTGAAGCTTTATATGGACGCCATGTGTCAAACTTTTAATTTTTTTCATTTTTGAGTCATTTTTATCTTCCTATTCCCTGATCCGTCCATCTTCGCCAGTGACATTTTTGCACTCCACAATCTACCTTCACACAAATTATCCACTCAGTTTTAATTCACTGTCATGTTCACACACTCACCATTCACAATTCACAATCATCAAAAAGCTCATACACATATTTTTCCTATCTTTCTTCACCTGAACATTGCAACTTCCCCATTGAATCAGTTTTGTCCACCTCTCTTTACCCATTTGACATCGCAGTAGTCTCTTCTCCATTTTCACATCACCCATTTGATAGAAACAATTCCAGCAATTATTTCCTTCCTTTTTTCTGTTTTTCGTTGGAATTTTTCTAAGTAGTGATGAATTTTGTGGGTGAAAATGAGAGAACAACCTTGCAATGGTAGTTTTTGGGGAAATAGAGATGTATGTGAGAAAATTAAGAAAAAAGGGGAGAAGAGGGGTTTGTGGCTGCTCGTTTGTGTCCTATGTTTTGAAAAAATGGAGGTCTTGAATCGGTTGATTCTGATAGAAATATAGGGAAGGTGAAGTACGGTAGTGGGGGCCGGTAATTATTATAAGATGTAATTAAGAAGAAATTATGAGTTTTGTTGAGTGAGGTGCCTGAGGAAGAAGATGGAGATGGTGCCGATAAGGGTTCCAGCGAGTTGGTTTCTTTTTCTTTTTCTTTTGAAAAAGGAAGGTTTTTCTTTTTCTATGTTAATAACACGTTTCATATCATTATTGGTGTGTGGTATACACTTGTTGAAAAAAAGTGGTCAAACACAGAATAGGTGTGTATTAAACATACTTTGGAAAGGTTGAATGTGTAACGTGATTTTTGTCCGTAAAAAATGTGTAACAGGGATTTGATCCTTAGTTCAAGGGGTAACTTATGTATTTTGCCTATCTTTTTATTCATAGATTGCTATTACTACTTAGAGTCTATCTGTTTTCTTGGCTTCGGTCTTATTTTTATCTTGTTGTTGTTTCTACTTGTTTTCAATTACTCCTTTTCATCATGTCTTTAGCCGAGGGTCTATCGGAATCAGCCTTTCTCCCTTCCAGGGTAGTGGTAAGGCTACATACATCTTACCCTCCCAAACCCTACTTGTGGGAACTGGGAACTCACTAGTTTTGTTGTTGTTGTGGTTGTTACTTAGAGAATTGAAGTTTGACGAAATCAGTCAGATGGAACTTGTGTGCGATAACCAAGCTGCTCTTATATTGCACCAAATTCGGTGTTTCATGAGAAAACTAAGCACATTGAGATCAACTATCACTTCATTAGAGAAAAGATATTATCAGGAGACATTGTTACGAAATTCGTGAAGCCAAATGATCAGCTTGCAGATATTTTTATTAAGCCCCTCACAGGTTTTCGTATCAACTGCATTTGCAACTAGCTTGGTACATATGATTTATATGTACCAGCTTGAGAGGGAGTGTTAGAATCTTGTAGATATTCTAGGATCCTCTAGTTATGGGTTTGATTCTCTTTCATTTCTTAGGACATGTACACTTAGTTTTTTAAAGCCCACTCGCTTGAGAGAATAATCAAGCTGAGTTTCTCTAAATTCCTTCTTCCTTGTCTTATTTCTCACAGGTCCTTTCTCCTTAACTAGGGCTAGGCTTTTCGGCGAATCCCACCAGCTCTTTCCATCGTGCATCTAGATGTTCATAATTATGAACTTATGTAGAAGAGATTTATTTTTGAGGCATTATGTAGGTTGAAAACAATCAGAAAAGATTCTTAGTTGAATGAACCAAGGGTCATATTTTATAAACTTAAGCACTAGAGATGACTTGCAGGTATTAGATTCATTCCGACTATACAGCAACAATAACGACCCAGTAAAATTCCACTAGTGGGGTCTGGGGAGGGTAGTGTGTACGCAGATCTTACCCCTACCCCGGGGAGTAGAGAAGTTGTTTTCGAAAGATCCTCGGCTCAAAAAGACGAGAAGAGACAATATATCAGTACCATCAACAGAAACATAGTAATAATAACAGCATCATAAAAATCAGAAAATAGACGAAAAGCAAAAGCTGTAACCAGTAAATAGACCAGGCACTATGAAAAACGGAAGAAGAGTGAGAACACAACATTAACCACTAGTAGTCTAAGACAAAAATCCTATCAAACTAGCCTCACATTGGTACGAAGTAGAAATAAGCTCAACTACCTCCTAACCTACAACCCTAATACTCGACCTCCACAACTTCCTATCAAGGGCAATGTTCTCAAAAATCTAAAGCCACGCCATGTCCTGCCTGATCACCTTTCCCCAATACTTCTTAGGCCGCCCTCTACCTCTTCTCGTGCCTTCCAAAGCCAGCGGCTCACACCTCCTTGGCGGGGCATCTGGGCTTCTCCTCTGTACGTGCCCGAACAGTTTGAGCCTTACTTGCCGCATCTTGTCATTCCATCTATAATAACACATTATATGCTTTTGTTGATATTACTGATCCATTGTCTCTTTTCGTCTTCTTGAGCCGAGGGTCTATCGGAAACAACCTCTCTATTCCTCCGGGGTAGGGGTAAGGTCTGCGTACACACTACCCTTCCCATACCCCACTTGTGGGATTTTACTGGGTTGTTGTTGTTGTTGTTGTTGTAATAACACATTATATATTCAATAACTCAGTGTTAAGGTGAGTTCATGACATAAAGTGGAAGCTTCACATTTGGCTGCACAGACATGGTCCTTATCTCTGAATAGTCTGGGAATAAACCTGACAATTCCAAGTAGTACTGTACATTTGCATTCTGCAGCTGGCAAGTGAACAGCATCAACAAGGAGTTGAAGGAATATGAAAGACTATTTGGGATAAAGGAACGAACTGGAACGGGGAAAATGGTGAGAGTTGAAAAAGTGATAACTGTCCGGTAATACAATGGGTCAGATTCTCTCTCAAATGGGTAAAATAATTGAGTTGGGTTTTGAAAAATAGATAATATTAAGAACCTGGGACTTTTTAAATAACTTGTGATGGTAATTAGTATCATGTTAGCTGGAAATGCCAATTCCAGTAAGTAGTACTTCTAATTATACATTGTTATAGTCACGAATTTTAGTTTAGATACTCTTGTGCAACAAATCATTTAGTTTAGGTACCACCAATGAAATTACCCATAAAAATTCTGTTATTGCCTTGAAGTTCGTGCAAGTCTCATCATTGAATCGATCAAACGACTGCGCTAGGAACTTAATCTCAATGGGACGAACCCAGGGATCAAAATAGTGACTCCTCGCCTTACATGTCGTCACTTACCACCATAGGACAGGTATATTACCGACGCGTCGATCCATGTTGATCACATGCCAAATGTCCAGGTCATCTCCAGTCAGACCTTCCGTCCTTGTTAGAGCCACGCATGCAGACAGGTTTAGCGAACACACATTATCCACTTACCACATGCTAGCCACATGTGGCTTGCTATTGTTAGTTCTGTTGTTACCTACCTCAGCTGACATGCCATATATCCTATACGTTAGCACCAGGTACACTTCTCAGTTTCTGGTTAGTCCACATATCATCATCCACATTAGCTATTACGTCAACGCTATCTGCTTAGTCAGCCTCTTTGCCTCTTGAGCAACAACAACAATAACAAATACTCTCAATCCCAAACTAGTTGAGGTTGGTTATAATGAATCCTCAATGACCATGTTTCTCCATTTAAATTAATATCAGGCCATCAGTATACAAAACAAGAAAAATAAAAAGTGCTAGAAGTTCTCTTTGCCTTATCAACAATCAAAATTTTTCAGCAAGTCATTAGAAAGGGTATTTGCTCCACTTAAAATCATCATCCCATTTATAGCTTCCTCTTCACCTCGTCGCTACTGTTTTTCTTTGACTCCCTTGATATACTTTGTTCTTCCCAAGACCCCTAATAAAGGATTAGCTGATGCGGCACAACACCAAACAGTGGCCGAAAACTGCCACTTTCTTTTGTTGTAGAACTTAAGGATTGGTGACCTGTTGGAATATCCCAATTCATTGTCGCTAGATCTGAAAATCAAACATTTTACTTGTCAAGCTCAGAACCTAAATTACTCGGTTTTGTTCACAATTGGCATGCATCACAATCTAACCCTCGATCTATGACCATGGGGTCAGTCAAATTGAAAAGACAGGAACATTGTATTTTAATTAGGAGATTGTTTTGAAGCAAATAGTTTGAAAATAGTGTAACATACTTATTAGAGTAGTCTAACAACTACTATACTTGAACTGAGTTTATTTGTCAAGAAAGCAGTTTTTCTCTCTCATTCAACAGTCCTATTTTAGTTCAATCTGTATCGTAAGTGACTGTGGACATGAACAATTTTGTCATTATAGGCGAAATGCAGGTTAAGTTTGACATGTTAGCAAAATTCAAGCTAGTATTGTTCCTCTATTATCAAGCTTGGTAACTGGTGAACTGAAGTTTTCGATATTTTAACTTATAAAAAGAAAAGAATAGTTTTGGACTTTTAGCTTCTCCTGGATTATTGTATACTTTGTAAGTCTTACATGATGTTTTTCCATGTGTGCATCAGGATTCTTATGATGATGCAAACTGTGGTTTCTCACAAAACTAAGAATAGAATGAGCACACCAGCAGTGGCAGCTTGCATGGCACCTTTACTTCTTCGCCCACTTCTAGCTGGAGAATGTGAGATAGAAAGTGATTTTGCAATGGGCAGTGATGGCTCTGTTCAACTTATACAGGCAGCTGCTGCAGCCAACCATGCTCAAGCTATTGTTATCACATTGCTAGAGGAGTATGAAAAGTTGTTTGCGGTAAAGTTTATTTTCTCATCTTCATTTTTGTCGTGAGAAGTATAACACGGAAAAGTTTTATTAATTATGTCTAAAGTGTTGTATAATGCCCTATTTATATACAATGATTACATAATAATAGGTATTTACTTCCCGATGTGGGACACTATACAATACTAGCTATTTAACACTCCCCCTCAAGCCGGTGCATATAAATCATATGTACCGAGCTTGTTACAACAACAACTAATACGAGAACCAGTAAGAGACTTGCTGGACATATCTCCAAGCTGATCATTCGACTTCACAAATTTTGTAATAGTATCTCTTGAGAGTATCTTTTCTCTGACAAAGTGACAGTCCATCTCAATGTGCTTAGTCCTCTCATGGAACACCAGATTTGACGCAATATGAAGAGCAGCTTGATTATCACACACCAGTTCCATCTGGCTGATTTTTCCGAACTTCAACTCCTTGAGCAACTGCTTGATCCAAACTAGCTCACACGTTGCCATAGCCATTGCCCGATATTCTGATTCTGCGCTAGATCGAGCAACTACATTTTGTTTCTTGCTTTCCGAATTACCTCCTACTAGAACAATAAATCCGGACATAGAACGTCTATCAGAAGGTGACCTTGCCTAATCAACATCTGTTTACCCAACAATCTGCTCATGGCCTCGATCCTCGAATAGTAATACTTTCTATGGAGCTGACTTTATATACCGAAGAATGCGAACAACTGCATCCCAATGACTATCACAAGGAGAATCCATAAACTGACTTACAACACTCATAGGAAAAAAAATCTCAGGTCTAGTCACTGTGAGGTAATTCAATTTGCCAACCAACCTCCTATATCTCGCAAGATCTCTATGAGGCTCCCTCTGTCCTGGCAGAAGATTCGGATCCATAGGAGTGTCATCAGGTCTGCAACCCATCATTCATGTCTCTTCAAAAATGTTTAAGGCATACTTCCGTTGTGAAATAACAATACCTGAGTTAGATTCAGTGACCTCAATACTTAGAAATACTTCAATTTGCCCAGATCCTTAGTCTGGAAGTGCTGAAAGATATGCTGCTTCAGATTAGTAATACCATCCTGATCATTGCTAGAAATAACAGTATCATCAACACAAACCACAAGATAAATGCACAGATTATGAGCAGAATGTCGATAAAACACAAAGTGATCAGCTTCACTATGAGTCATGCCGAACTCCTGAATAACTGTGCTAAACTTACCAAACCAAGCTCGGGAGACTATTTCAAACCATAGAGTGACCTGCGCAATCGGTATACAAGACCACTAGATTCCCCCGAGCAACAAAACCAGGTGGTTGCTCCATATAAACTTATTACTTAAGATCACCGTGGAGAAAATCATTCTTAATGTCTAACTGATAAAGACACCGATGACGAACAACAGCCATGGACCAAAAGAGACGAACAAATGCTACTTTAGCCACGGGAGAGAAAGTGTCACTATAATGAAGCCTCAATACCTGTGTGTATCCTTTTGCAATAAGACGAGCCTTTTGTCGACCAACCTGACCATTCGGGGCGGCTTTGACTACATAAACCCAACGACAACCAGTAGTAGACATACCCGAAGGAAGAGGAATAAGCTCCCAAGTACCACTCGCATGTAAAGCAGACATCTCTTCAACCATAGCATGTCGCTATCTTGGATGAGATAGTGCCTCACCTGTAGACTTAGGGATGGAAACAGTGGACAAAGATGATAGCATAATGAAGTGATGACCAATGATGATAACTTTAACCGACATAATAGGGATTAGGATTAAGTGTGGATCGTACACCTTTTCGAAGTGCAATTGGTGGACTAGGAGGAGACGAATCCGTAGTAGGTGCAGAGTCTGATGCAGGACGTGAATCATCTGGGCTTGATGCTGGACGTAGACGACGATGATAAGTCAAGAGTGGTGGTCTTGTGGCTGGGGATGTAGGAGGAGCAACTATAGACTCCTCAAAAGTCTGTATAGGTAGCCGTGGTTGTGGTGGTGCTGTGGATGTGGATTCCTCACAAATAGGTACATGTAAGACCTCAGATATATTAAGATGATCAGAAGAAGTAAAGTAAGGCTGAGATTTAAAAAATGTGACATCGGCTGACATAAGATAACTATGAAGGTCAAGTGAGTAGCAGCGATACCCTTTTGAACCCAAGAATAACGAAGGAGCAAACACTTAAGAGCACGAGGAGCTAACTTATCTTTTCCGGGAGTTAAGTTGTGAACAAAACATGTACTCCCAAAAACACGAGAAGAAAGAGAGTAAAAGGGTGATTTAGGGAATAATACTGAATGTGAAATCTGATTTTGGATAACAGATAAAGGCATCCGATTAATCAAGTAAGCTATAAGAACTGCATCGCCCCAAAACGCAGCACAACATGGGATTGAACTATAAGTGTGCAAGTGGTTTCAATGAGATGCCTATTCTTTCATTGCTACCCGATTTTGCTGAGGGGTATACAAACAAGATATTTGATGGATAATTGTTTGAGAGGTCATAAACTACTGAAACTGAGAGGACAAGTATTCTAAAGTATTATCACCACGAAAAGTGTGAATAGGAACACCTAATTGATTTTTAATTTCAGCACAAAAAATCTTGAAGATAGAAAACAATGGAACGATCTTTCATTAGGAAAATACAAGTACATCTTGCATAATCATCAATGAACTAACTCTACTAAGCCCCCATGTATCAGAATGAACTAAAGAAAAAATTGAATCAAACGACTCTCAACACTACGCCGAAAGATGGCTAGGGTATGTTTCCCAAGTTGACACGACCCACAATTTAATGTAGACAAACTAGGCACCATCTTCTGAAGCTTGGATAAACTTGGATGTCCTAAATGTTTGTGATTAGGTCCGGAGGATCTGTAACTGGACATGTTGTCGAGGGATTGAGTGAGTTAAGGTAATAAAGGCCTTGTTATTCACGCCCTGTGCCGATTGTCCGCCCCGTACTAAGTCCTGCATAATTAAAGGAATCATCAATAACATATATACCTCAATGGAGGGCACAAGTCAAATGACTAACAGATGCAAGAGTAAAAGGATAGCCAGGAACATAAAGAACGAAATCTAGAGTGGCAGAAGATGAGGGATTAGCTTGTCCAACTTCTTTTGCCTTAGTTTGGAACCCATTGGCTAAAGTAACCGTAGGAAGAGACTGTGAATACACAATACTCGACAAAAGTGATTTATTACTAGAGATATGACCAGAAGCTCCTGAGTCCATGACCTACGGTTTAAGAATACTAGGCTGAGAAAGACAAGCAAAAGAATTACCCGCAACAGGAGCATCAATTTGAGCATCCGAGGCTACTAGTGGAGATGTTTGCTTACTTGCTTGATACTGAAGGAACTCATTATATTCCCCTTCAGATAAAGAAAATTCCTGGTTACCTATAGTCTCGGTTTGAGCAACATGAGCGTTTCTGGGTGGTCGAGCATGTACAGAATAACATACTTCACGAATGTGTCCAAGTTTATTACAATAAGAACACTTGGGTCGAGTTCTCCCAAAGTGACCTCCTTCTCGTTGATTCTCCATAGCCTGAGATGTCCGATTTTCCATTGTCTGAGATGTGAGAATAGATGAGTCAATAGTTGGTAGTGAGACCACTGTGTGACTAGGTGGCATAGCAAGACGAAGTAATCGAGAGAATAGTTCATCAACTACAAGGACCGAAGGACTAGCCAAAATTTGGTCTCTCATCGAGTCAAGATCATTAGGCAGTCCAGCAAGTGTATGAACTAGAAACATTATCTCTCGTTGCTCTTGTTGTTTTTCAACACTAGCAGTGACTGGCATCAACTTCTCAACTTTCTCCATAACTGCCTCACCTGTCCCAAGTAGGTTGACATATCCAATTCTTATTTCTTTAAGTTTGTCATCCGAGATATCACATCGTAAAAGCGAGATATGTCATTAGTGTATAAAGCACGAGCCTTCTCCCAAACTGAATAACATGTCTGGAATTGATGAAACAAAGGCATTATCTTGGAATCAATCAATCGCCACAACAAACTACATAACTGAGCATCAACTTTCTCCCAGAGTGCTTTGGCCTTTTCATCTCATCACTAGTCTTCTTGGATAGGTAATCTTGAACACCTTGACCCTTGCACCATAACTCATCAGAAGAAACCCAGACTAAAGAGTTTAAACTTCCCATTATGTGTTCTGAAGCAATCATCAAACATGAATTTCCAGAACTCGTGCTTATAAAACCAAAAACATCAAGTCCCAAAGAAATTGTTGGACCAAGTAGCATAGACAATCAAGAACAATAAAAAACTCACAAGAAAGTGAAGAAAAAACATTGTTTCTCACCAGAAACTGAACGGTCTCCGGAAATCTCGCCGGAGAATAAAAAAGTCATCAGAATTTGGTGTAACTTGGATGAATAGACTCGGAATAGCTCGCGAGTAAGCTTTCCAAAAGAAGTTTTGTCACAAAATGACCGGAGGGCAGCTCACGCGGCGTGTGAGGAGATCTCGCCGGAATTTTTCTCCTTCTGGTCGGCGCGTGCGGGGTTATTTTCCGGCGGGGTTTGCTGGGGTTTGGTCGTCGGAGAGTGTAGGACCCTGTGATGGTGTTGGTTTTAGTGCAACACTGAGGGAAATGTAGGTGACGCAATAACAACCCTAGAAGTCATCGAAAATTGACGCGTGACGACTGTGTGGCGGAGTTTCTTTCACGAATGTTTCTCACCAATGCTCTGATACCATGTGAGAAGTAAAGCATGAAAAAGTTTTATTAATTATGTCTAAAGTATTGTACTATGCCCTATTTATATACAATGATTACATAATAATAGGTATCTACTTCCCTATTACCAACTATTTAACACCCATCACTAGTCTTCTTGGCTAGAAGAAGCCCAGGCTAAGTAGTTTGAACTTCCCATTAAGGGTTCCGAAGTAATCATCAAACTTGAATTTCTAGAACCCTTTATATTTAGAACCAAATACATCAAGTCCCAAAGACATCGTTGGATTGGAGAGAGGCCTAGAAACAAATAATAAAAATAATCAACTGTATCTCGCCGAAACAGGGAAGGAAAGTGTTTTTGCTAGAATATCACTATTTCTGCCGTAAAAAATTGAAAGTAATTAGAATAAAAAGAAAATATGATGGGTAGGCTCGAAATTGATAGGCGAACACACTGTCCAAGAGAACTTTCGTCAAAACCTGGCCGGAATAGGGTCCACGCGCCGGCGCGTGTGACAGACGCTTCGCCGGCGTCAGAATTCTTGCCGCGCGTGACGGCGCGTGGGAAGGTTTATGCCGTACTGGTTTCTTGGGGTTTGATCGCCGGAGCTTTTCGAGTATGTTAGTAGTGTTGGTTTTAGCACAACACTCACCAACAGAGAGGTGACGCAATCTGATCTTGAAAAAGTCGCTTGAAGTTGATGCACAACGACTGTCCGACCTTTTCGGAGTTTCTCACCGATGCTCTGATACCATGTGAGAAGTATAACGCGGAATTTTTTTATTAATTATGTCTAAAGTGTAGTACATTGCCCTATTTATATACAGTGTTTGCATAATAATAGGTATCTACTTCCCGACGTGGGACACTATACATTACTAGCTATTTAACATTTGTATTTTCATTCTCACCGACATCGCTTTTGTATTGAGAATTTCCGTTTATTTGGAACCTCAGTTTGATGATATATCACTTTTTATTCTGCCATTGGTTATTTGTATATTAAATGTTGATGGGCATTTTCATTGACTCCTGAGTTACGGATACATGAGGCCTTTTGTCAACCTCCATGACTTGATCATCATACCTTGCGAAAAAGTAGAAGATGAAAGAATTGCTTTAGAAGTGAACTATAATCTTTTCAGATTGTGAAGCTTAATTTGCTAATCCACATGTTGAAAATATTAAACTTCTCCACAAAGCCCTCCTTTACCACTTTAGCTGATTTCCGGTATCCCTTGGATGCAATTCCTGCAATCCTATTTTATATGGTTCTAGTCAACCGTAGGTTAACCATATGAAAAGTCCTGCCTCTGCTACTTTACCCATCTTCGTGTGGTTTGCAGAGCATGAAAATCAGTTTACCATCCTTAATAGAAACACAGCAATATAAATCATTAACTAACAGAAATATAGCATAAGCAATACTTCCATGCCTAATGTGGTTATTCCTTAGGATCAGTTTACAAAAAAATTGCAGAAAGAGTATTATAGGAAAATGCTTGAATAACCTGGATAAGGAAATTTCTGCAGACAATGAAGTTTTCTATGTTGATTTCCAGTCCCCTTCTGTTCAAGTAGCAGTTGAAACTCTTTGCAGGAAGGCTCTGTATCGCCTGAACTATACTCTGACTCAGACGGTAGTGGAAGCGAGAGTGAAGAACTTACTGATGATGATGAAAGCTATGAGGATGATTCACAGGAGGGATCTGATGTTGATACTGATGATGATTTTGATCGTGAGTCTAGCCCAAAAACCAGTGAGGTTGGTGAATGTGAAGATAGTAACAAGGTTCTTTCCTATTGCCTTCATTATCCTATTGTCTGCCTTATTATTCTTATCTCATGCTTTTCCGCTGATCTTGTGTGATGCTGAGGACCTTTTAAATCAACCCCATCCCTTCAGGCCCTTCAGGGGCTGCATGCTGCTTGTATATCTGTCCTTGAAAACTTGTGGTTTGCTTGTCAATTTGTAATTTCCTCTTTCCCATTTCATGTGCACGCTTTCCTTTTTAGTCTGTCCCAAAAAGAATGACACATTTCTCTTTTTGGAAACTATTTAGTCGTAGCATCCCCATTTTACCCTTAAGGACATGACTTGTTGGGAACCGTTTAGTATAAAAGGTTATTTTTTTTATAAGTAGAGAAAATGAAAAGACATGTCGATTGTGGAACTCTCACCACCACTCATTTAAAAATCTTCTTTAATTTCTTAAACTCCATTTCCAATCAAATACCTTCTTGTAAAATGGGTCAGAGGGAGTAGTATTTAGTGGATATGAAGATCAACAAAAATTGATCCCACCATGACCCAGATGTTTAACCAATTTTTATTGCATGATTTCGATGTGCAAAATGATATTGATTACTTGAATATAGTCGAAGACTATTTTGAGGAAATGGAAAATCTCTAAAAAAGCTTGCTGATAATGTTAGTGTTCTCTCTGCTTTCATGCAGTCCTCTTGAACTATTTTTAGTACATATTTGCTCCTCCCCACGTCAACTTCTGTCACTTCTCCCTAAGGATATAGATTAATGTTGCAGAGCTCTCAAGTTTCTAAATCTGGTTCCAAGTCTCCCGAAGCAGACAACGAAGCCAGTAGGTGCTTGCCTACAAGTCCACCTCGTACTTCTATTCAGCATGATCCAGTGGAAGGAAGCGAGAGTGTTCCAGTTCAAAGTAATGAAAATTCAAGGACGCAGGGAAATGAATGTGGTGAACAATTGGGAGCTGAACTGGAAAAAACATCTACTTCCCAAAAGTCAATAGATATGCAAAGTAGTCCTGCCCAAAGCATTCGGCGCCCTGCTCTGTGGGGGCGCTCTCCTGTAAGTATAATTGAATGCTTTTCGCTGACAATTACCTTTTCAAAAAAACTGTGCAGTCTATTTTTCTCGTATGCCACCATGTTCTCACTTTACCATATGGACTTTCACATATATTTATTCCTTAAGCTTAGCATTGTGAGATTAAATTGAATGTGGTATTCAGCGTTATTACATCTGTTTTGACCATAGTACTTGGGTGTAAATTTTTGATACTTCTATTATTGTTTTTTCTTTTCTGAGTCTAGGCCAAGAAGAACCTCTCGATGGAATCTATCAATGTCCCTCTCGATGACGTGTAAGTGATAAAATTATCAGAAGTTGATTTTACGTTGAAGATAGGGGAAAACCAAGGTATACCATAAAAGAAAATTAGTACTCACTCCATCCATTTTGAGTGATGGTGTTTGACTAGGAGTCAAAGGTGTCATTCTTTTTGGGACAGAGAGTGTCACATAAATTGGGACAGAGGTAGTAAGTAAAAGTAAGTTATTGAACAATGAGGAACCAACTTATAAGAGAAATTTTGGACTAAGTAGAGAGAAAAATAAGAACACCCAATATGATCAAACACATAGTGTAAACAGCATTCATGTAACAAGTGTAATCAGCAATGAACAGAAAAATCCCCTACCCTGCCTTAAATTTCTTACATTTATATACTTATGATTAACTTTCTCATGTTGGTATCTTTGCATTTGGACTTGCTTTAGGACTGAAATCCAAAGGCTTGAGGTCACTAAAACTGACTTGCAATCCAAAATTGCAGAGCAGGTACCTCTTATGAGATTCTCATTCTTATGGAATGCATTACTTTTCCTTTTGTTATTTTTCTATAATTTGTTTATTTTAAGTATTGAAAATTGGTCTTGGGGTGACACATCTCTTCTTTGTAGGCCAAGGGGAATGCCCTTCTGCAAGAAAGTATGGAGAATCGGAAGAATGCATTGCGTGAGCGTCGTTTGGCACTTGAGAAGGATGTATGCACCTGACACTTTCCTTTTGCTTTTATTATTTTTCTTCTTATGACATTTCTTTTTGATCAAGTAAAGGGATTGCACCAGCTGGGAAACGAACCCGACTAATAAGTCAAAAACAAATAGTAGTATGAATGTATGAGTATGTCTGAATGTATAAATAATAGTATGAAAGATAGGGGAAGGGGACTGCAAGGGTCTGCGAGCGATCATGTAGCACTACCTCGAGTCTCCTCTGACGACTAAAAGGCTCACTCCTGAAGTCCGCTACTGCCAATGCCCGGATCTGCACAAAAATGTGCAGAAGTCTAGTATGAGTATGGGACAACGTGTACTCAATAAGTATCAAGACTAACCTCGGTAAAGTAGTGACGAGGTTCAAGTCATGTGACATTTACTTAATCAAATAAACATGTACAGGTCATAATTATTTACAGCAAGACTATGAAAAGAGATACAATATCATCATAGATCAAATCAAAAAATATCAACTCAACATGGATAATTCTATCTCAACTAACAAGTCAAAAACAAATAATAGCGGCATCAAGTAGAATGTTAGAATTCAACATATAAAGCATATAAAATGCAAGATAAGGCATAGGGGATTCACTTAAATGATCAAAGTTTTTATTAGAATAGCTATGTGAATATATATGTAACTAGTAATAGGAGTAGGTTATATATTATGTGTACTTCTAAATAGGGTTCATTGTATTACAATTAACATCAATAATATAATTTTTCCAGTATTATTTCTCACATGGTATCAGAGCCGCAGTGAGAAAACATCCGGGAAAGAAAACCCAGCCGAAAAAATTGTTGTGCTTCAATTCCGGCGACCCTTTTAGGGTTGTTTTCCGTCAAACCAATTTCCATCGGTGTTGTACAAAAACCAATACCACCACAAGGTCCCCCAACCCCCGGCGACCAAACCCAAAAAACAGCTCCGGCAACCGACATCTCACGCGCCGCCACGCGCCAATACTTTTCCGGCTAGATCTACTCCACGCACCGGCGCGTGGAGCACTTTCCGGCCACTTTTGACGAAATTTCTTTAGAACAGTTGGATCGCCCTCAAATTCTGTGCCTACCCATAATTTTATTTTTTAATTCCGAGCACTTTGAAATTTTTTTCGGCAACTACAGTACTTTCCCGCCAGTACAGTGTTTTTCCGGCAACTACAGTTGATTCTTTGTTTTATTTGGTGCTAATTTGCTGGACCTCTTTTCTATCTAACAATGTCTTTGGGAGTTGATGCTTTTGGGTCTAAAAATACGAGATATGGAAGTTACGGTATTATGATTACCTTAGAACCTTTAATCGGAAGTTCAAACTTCAAACTACTTAGCTTGGGCTTCGTCTGTCAAATTGTGGTGTAAAGGTCAAGTTGTTCAAGATCATTTAACTAAAAGGGCTAGCGAAGGAGATGAAAAGGCCAAAGCACTTTGGGAGAAGGTCGATGCTCAGTTATGTAGTATCCTGTGGCGATCTATTGATTCCAAGTTGATGCCCTTGTTCTGTCCATTCTAGACATGTTATTTAGTTCTGGAAAAGGCTCGTACTTTATACACTAATGACATATCTCGTTTCGATGATGTGATATCGCGAATGACAAGCTTAAAGAAACAGGAATTGGATATGTCTACTTACTTGGGACAAGTACAGGCAGTCATGGAAGAATTTGAGAAGTTGATGCCAATTTCTTCTAGTATTGAAAAGCAACAGGGCAACGACAGAAGATGTTTCTAGTTCTTACACTCGCTGGACTTCCTAATGATATTGATTCAGTACATGACCAGATTTTGGCTAGTCCGACTGCCCCTATAATTGATGAATTATTCTCTCGATTACTTCGTATTGTTGCAACACCACCCAGTGATCTCATCACAACCACTTGACTCCTCTGTTCTCGCATCCTAGACAGTGGAAAGTCAGGCATTTCAAACTATGGAGAATAGACGAGGAGGAGGTCGTTTTGAAAGATCTAGACCCAAGTGTTCTTATTGTCAAACTTGGACACACTCGTGAAGTGTGCTATTCTTTATATGGATCAACCACCTGGGTTTGTTGCTCAGTGGGAGTCTAGTGGCCTTGTATGTCGCTTGTGCTCGTCACTTTATGGTCTAAAGCAGTCTCATCGAGCCTGGTTTGGTAAGTTCAGCACAGTTATTCAGGAATTTGGCATGACTCGTAGTGAAGCTGATCACTCTGTGTTTTATCGGCATTCTGCTTCAAATCTCTATATTTATCTTGTGGTTTATGTTGATGATATTGTTATTACCGGCAATGATCAGGATGGTATTACTAAGTTGAAGCAACATCTCTTTCAGCACTTTCAGACTAAGGATCTGGGCAGATGAGAATATTAAGGTCGCTCAGTCTAGCTCAGGTATTGTGATCTCTCAACGAAAGTTTGCCTTACACATTCTTGAGGAGACAGGAATGACAGGCTGTAGACCTGTTAACACTCCTATGGATTCGAATTCTAAACTTCTGCCAGGGCTGGGGGAGCCGCTTAGCGATCCTGCAAGATATAGGCGGTTGGTTGGTAAATTAAATTACCTCACAGTGACTAGACCTGATACTTCCTTTCCTGTTAGTGTTATAAGTCAGTTTATATATTCTCCCTGTGATAGTCATTGGGATGCAGTTGTCTGCATTCTTCGGTATATAAAATCAGCTCCAGGCAAAGGACTATTGTTTGAGGATCGAGGCCATGAGCAAATCGTTGGATACTCAGATGTTGATTGGGCAAGATCACCTTCTGATAGACGTTCTACGTATTGATATTGTATTTTAGTAGGAGGTAACTTGGTGTCTTGGAAGAGCAAGAAACACCGTACCTCAGAATCTATGACGGGACGATTGATCCCGAGGATCATGTGACCCATTATGTCACCGCGGTAAAGGAAAACGACCTCAGCAAAAAGCAGGTGTCCTCTATCTTGTTAAAAATGTTCGGTGAAACTTTGATGCCAGTTTCTGCTAGTATTGAAAAACAACAAGAGCAACGACAGAAGATGTTTCTAGTTCTTACACTCGCTGGACTCCCTAATGACCTTGATTCAGTACGTGACCAGATTTTGGCTAGTCCAACCGTCCCCTCAGTTGATGAATTATTCTCTCGATTACTTCGCCTTGCTGCAGCACCTAGTCACCCAGTGAGCTCATCACAGACACTTGACTCATCTGTCCTCGTATCCCAATCAGTGGACAATCGGGCATCTCATACTATGGAAAATAGACGAGGAGGAGGTCGTTTTGGAAGATCTAGACCCAAGTGCTCCTATTGTCATAAACTTGGACACACTCGTGATGTATGCTATTCTTTACATGGCCGCCCAACCAAAAATGCTTATGTTGCTCAGACTGAGACTACAGGTAACCAGGGATTTTCTTTATCTGAAGGGGAGTATAATGAGTTCCTTCAGTATCGAGCAAGTAAGCAGACATCTCCACAAGTAGCTTCTGTTGCTCAGACTAATACTTCTGTTGCTGGTAATTCTTTTGCTTGTGTTTCCCAGTCTAGTCCTCCTGGACAATGGGTTGTGGACTCAGCCGCTTCTGATCATATCTCTGGTAATAAATCACTTTTGTCAAATATTGCGTATTCACANNNNCAGAACGATACTTTCATTAAGAAAATCCAAGTACATCTGAATGATCATCAATAAAACTAACAAAATAACGAAATCCCAAGGTTGAACTGACTCTACTAGGACCCCATATATCAGAGTGAACTAAAGAAAAAATAGACTCTGCGTGACTCTCAATACTACGAGGATAGGAGGCTCGGGTATGTTTCCCGAGCTAACATGACTCACACTCTAATGTGGATAAACTAGACAAACCAGGCACCATCTTCTGAAGCTTGGATAAGCTTGGATGTCCTAAACGTCTGTGAATTAGGTCCGGAGGATCTGTAACTAGACATGCCTTGGAGGATTTTAGGGAGTTAAGGTAGTAAAGCCCTTCTGATTCAAGTCCTGTTCCAATCGTCTGCCCTGTACTGCGGTCCTGCATAATAAAAGAATCATCAATAAAATATATACCACAATGGAGGGCACGAGTCAAACGACTAACAGATGCAAGATTAAAAGGACAGCCAGGGACATAGAGAACGGAATCTAGAGTGACAGATGGTAGGGGATTCGCTTGTCCAACTCCTTTTGCTTTGGTTTGAGACCCATTGGCTAAAGTAACAGTGGGAAGAGACTGTGAATACGCAATATTTGACAAAAGTGATTTATTACCAGAGATATGATCAGAAGCGGCTGAGTCCACAACCCATTGTCCAGGAGGACTAGACTGGGAAACACAAGCAAAAGAATTACCAGCAACAGAAGTATTAGTCTGAGCAACAGAAGCTACTTGTGGAGATGTCTGCCTACTTGCTCGATACTGAAGGAACTCATTATACTCCCCTTCAGATAAGGAAAATCCCTGGTTACCTGTAGTCTCAGTCTGAGCAACATAAGCATTTTTGGGTGGGCGGCCATGTAAAGAATAGCATACATCACGAGTGTGTCCAAGTTTATGACAATAAGAACACTTGGGTCTAGATCTTCCAAAACGACCTCCTCCTCGTCTATTCTCCATAGTATGAGATGCCCGATTGTCTACTGATTGGGATGCGAGGACAGATGAGTCAAGTGTCTGTGATGAGCTCACTGGGTGACTAGGTGCTGCAGCAAGGCGAAGTAATCGAGAGAATAATTCATCAACTGTGGGGACGGTTGGACTAGCCAAAATCTGGTCACGTACTGAATCAAGATCATTAGGGAGTCCAGCGAGTGTAAGAACTAGAAACATCTTCTGTCTTTGCTCTTGTGTTTTTCAATACTAGCAGAACTGGCATCAACGTCTCAAATTCTTCCATGACTGCCTGAACTTGTCCCAAGTAAGTAGACATATCTAATTCCTGTTTCTTCAAGCTTGTCATTCGCGATATTACATCATAGAAACGAGATATGTCATTAGTGTATAGATTACGAGCCTTTTCCCAAACTAAATAACATATCTGGAATGGACGGAACAAGGGCATCAACTTGGAATCAATAGATCGCCACAGGATACTACATAACTGAGCATCGACCTTTCCCACTGTGTTTTGGCCTTTTCATCACCTTCGCTAGCCTTTTTTGTTAAATGATCTTGAACTCCTTGACCTTTGCACCACAACTCGACAGATGAAGCCCAATCTAAGTAGTTTGAACCTTCCATTAAAGGTTCTGAGGTAATCATAACACCGGAACTGCCAGAACCCGGGTTTCTAGACCCGAAAGCATCGACTCCCAAAGACATGGTTGGATTATCACCAAATAACAAAAAGAATCAACTGAAAATTCTCTGAAACAGATGAAGAAAACACTGTGTTTGCCGGAAAAGTCAGTGTAGTCGCCGGAAAAACTCAAAGTGGTCGGAATTAAAAAATAAAAATATGGACAGGCTCGGAATTGCAGGGCGATCCAACTGTCCTGAAGGAGCGAAGCCGAAATCTGACAGGAAGGGGTCTCACGCGCCGGCGCGTGGGACAGACGCGCCGCCGGAAACAGTGCTCCGACAGGCGCGTGACGGCACGTGGGTGACTGTTTTCCGGTGATTTTTTCTGGGGTTTGGTCGGATCTCTCTTGGGAACCTTGTGGTGGTGTTGGATTTTGCACAACACTGTTAATTAGTGACTTTGACGCAATAAGTCACTTAGGTCACCGGAAAATTGCACGGTGACTGAGTTCTTTCTTCCCGGATATCGCTGGAATGACGCACAACGATAAATTTCTCACCGTAGCTCTGATACCATGTGAGAAAGCACGGGAGAAAATATATTATTGATGTATTGACATATGTTACAATGAGCCCTATATATATACACACATAACATGTCCTACTCCTAATATATATTGGATTAGGGTTATTTATTTACTCCTATTTACATGACTATTCTAATAATGGCGAACACTAATTTTACATGAGTTCATTGTAAGATTAACTCATGATTCAAAGAAGAGCCAAGACATCTAAAATTATTCCTTTTGAAGACTACATGTGCTCAAAATCGAACTATGAGTTTTCCTTAAACAGCCACCATTCGATGATGTTGAATTGAAACAAGTTACAATTTCAAGTTTTTCCCATTTCAAGTTATACAATCAATAACTAAATATATCTTCAGGATGGAAGAATTACCATCACAAACTCTATGAGGAAAGATTTACCCTTTGCGATTCTCTACGGGGTTTATTTTACTGAATCAAAAACGGGGACAAAATTAAACATACTATACAAAGAAATTGTAAAACTGCCTTTGTAATACCTGCGTACAGCATCATCTTAGAGTATTGCGTCAACCAATAAAGTATCAAGACTCTCCATGAAGTATCCAGTTCTTTTCAACATAGAAGTTATTCCATCAACCATCATATCCCTCCATTGATCCTCTTTCATATTGCAGATAATCAACTTTTCTCCAATCACTTCCGATAGTACAACATCATCATTACTCATTAAGCACAATGGTATGAAACCATTCACTGAATTTGGTCCTTTAAATCTAAATTCAGTCCAAGACTCCTCAACTCGGTACTCTCTCATTATCCAAAGCTCAACTTCGTTGGCCCCATGAGTAATATACATACAAAGACACCCTCTAAGAGCCACAAGATTATAACACCCCAAATTACCTTTACCAAAAACAGTAGGTGATGGCACCTCCGAGAATGTCTCAGAAGTTAAATCAAAAGCAACAATTATAGATGAATACTGCAGCATAGGAGCTTTCCTAGCCACCCAATGCAAAGCCCCATTTACCAAAACCCCAGAACCGTCCGCATGAGTTAAATCATGATGAGCTATATGATCATGAGGTATACACTCAAGTCTCCTCCATAGACCCATTCTCACAGAGTAGACATCAATAAAAGTACTATCAACGGTCCATTCATATCCAATATATCGAGAAAGAGTGACAACCTTATAATCATCAGTACCAAAATCATACCCTAGACCAGACATTGTACAGGTACCTGCTGCAGGAAGAGCCAAATGAAACTTTGGAATTCTATGGTACTTTAAAGTTGTGGGGTTAAACAGATATTTAATCTTTTGCCTATTAACCACCAAGACCAAACCATTACATGAGCCAATAACTCTTAGCCAGTTATCTGGCAGCTCCGGAAAATTAAGCTTTCTTGAAATAGCATCGGTTCCATTTTGGGGGTTGTGGTTAAAAGTGATAATGTGAAGAACATGAGAAACAGAGATATAAATGAGTTTTTCTTCTTTTTTGTGGGCATGGATAATGTGGTGAGCTTTGATGAATTGTGGGTCTGAGAGAAGATTGCGCCACTGCTTTGACACGCACCTGAATTGGCCTATGAATTTCGCAGGCAGCAGGGAAAGTATGTCAAGTATCATTTCTTCGGGTAGGGTTTTAGCTTTGCTCATCGCCATTGAAGGAGTGTAGGATTTTTCTTGCCCGACTCTGTAGCTTTTCAATTATTGGGGAAAAAATGAAAATAAGGAATTTATTTACCATTTGAGTGGAAAAGTTTTTTTCAATTTGTTTCAAGTATTGCGAACATTAGAAAAAGTTTTTACCTACCAAATTTTCTCTTTTGACGTAAAAAAGTATTTGAAGTGCAAACTGAATAAGAGTACTTGAAAGTTAGAAATTGTATTTGGGTAAGATTTTAGTATTTGTGACTAGTCACCTCATTGATTATGCAAGACTTATTTTTCCTAAGGAAGAAGGTCACATTTGCCCAGGTATTATGCGAACATGTCGATACACGCTTCATTAATAGGTGGGATTAATCACAACCCTTTCTCTTGAGCAGGCTTGAATACAGAAAGAGATTCGTACTATTTGATCGCAAATCATCGAAGTCAAGAATAAGTGATGGGCCTAAGCGATCACAACATCTTGTTGATATTGATTGAGGAGTTTGATGGAGTTTAGCTAACTAAATCCTCGCGGACAATTGCAGGCGTGGCAAATTTCTTCAACTATGAGAAATGGTCTACATATGCCTCTGTAGCTTAAAAATTATCACAATTTACCCCTCCCCTAAAATATTGTATTCATTTAATCTTTTTAATTATCACAATCTTTTTAATTGATGCCTCATGATTATAATTGATTTGAATGAATCATGCTACACATCCCAACAACATTCCTACAATTAATATGAGTTAAAAAATTGAATTCTAATTGATGGGTGTGTTGCGTTTTTATTAAATGGGTGTGAATGGGAAATGGAAGAGGCACCTTTTGGATTGCACCTCTCCATATCACCTTTGAAAATTTCTCCCCTATTTTCTATATTGTTGCATTATTTTCAAATAAACATAAGTGTCAAGTGTGATTTGCTCCTTCTGTTGAGTTCGCTGAAATTCTGTAATTTCGATTGCAAGTATTGCAGAATAGTTATTCCGTTCTATCCTGGGAGGAATTAATCCAAAACCTTGGGCAACAGTGAGCGGATTAAATTCCTTAAGGACACACAAGCAACTTGTGGGCTCGGAATTATTTTTTCTGTTTTATTTATTAAACTTATGTTTCTCTGCTTCTTTGACTTTCTGATTTCGAACACAGATCACCAACAATCTTAAGGAATTTATTTTATATTTTTGTGTTCATTTTATATTTTGTTTCGCGAGACTTAAGAGTTTTTTTATCCGAAAATTCGTTTGCTATCTCTGTCGCTTCATCTTACAAAGTGTGACAGAGAAAGAATTTTGTTTCTGGTTCTTATATGGCCTAGTCTCGAAAGAACGGGCTAGGAAAAAGTACCTTGTAGTAAATTGTTCCGAAACGGCATGCCGACTTTATTACTTTTGTTTGGCAATTTTGAAGTTGGTATACTTCTGCCAACAATACTAGTTAATTTGACAAAAGAAATTTCTTCTATTCTTCATTGACTATTATGAAATTAATATATAGAAATCTACAACAGAGAGTGTCAACTGGCATGAAGCAAAAAAGAAATGTTCTACAAAGAGGTATGAGTTGGTTACCTTTCCACTAAGACTGACTGTTAATTATTTACTGGAAATAGATAGTCTTATGGTACGGTGAAGCAAATACAAGAATCTTTGTGTTTACAAAAGCAATTGTCCGATGATATGGTGAAAGAGTACGCTGTTCCATAAGTACCAATAAAAGGGTGCATTTGCGTCGTTCACTGCTGTCACGATGTTTCAATGTGTTCGCTTCAGCGATGAATTAATATGAGCAGTGGCATCAATATCGGGTTATATATTCTTTACCATATTCATTCTTTAATTTACTATCCATTATGATTTATGAAATTGATTTTCTATAAATATTGGATAGATGTGCTTATGTGGTGATCTCAAAGTATATCTGGTTTGCATGCTAGGATTGGGAATAACATATTATTGAAAGAAAATTGTTATTACATTTTTCAAATAAAATTGATTTTATGTATATACCATATAGTTGGTTAGCATGCATAAATTATGTGGAAGATTATTTTCAATGTTGTAAGATATGAATTAGGCTTACATTGATACTTGAAAGTATTCTTGAGATCATGAATATAATATATGTAAAGATGAACATATATGTGTTTGATTAAAGAAAAAGATGAAACTATTGAACTGTTTAAATACTATAATGGTTTAGTTGGAAAACCATTTGAAGAGATAAAATCCTCGTGATTTTCTATTCTTATTTTGGAGAGTAAAATCTTCGTGATTTTCTACTCCTGCTTCGAGATCAAAATCTGCATGATTTTGTACTCGTTCGTTGAGATTAAAGTCTTCGTGACTTTCTACTCATTTGTCGGAAATTAAAGTCTAAGTGACTTTATACTCGTTTTGGAGATTAAAATCTTAGTGATTTTCTACTCCAATTTATTATTCGGTTTGAAGATTAAAAAACTTCACCGTTTATTAAATTTGATTGTGTCACATATTATTCGGTTTAAAGATTAAAAACTTTACCGTTTATTTGATCTAGTTTTATCAGATGTTACTCGGTTTGAAGATTAAAAACTTCACCGTTTATTAATTCTGAATGTGTCAGATTGGTTTGAAGATTAAAAACTTCACCATTTATTAATTCTGTCTATGTCGTGACACAAACAACAATTCTTGTGGTTGGCTCAACAACGTAATAGGGGCGTTGAATATGAATCTCCTTTTGAATAAATATGTTTGGAATATGAAATTATTCACCAAACGATCGCCCCTTAGTTACCGCAATCTAATAGAATTGGGAAAAGAAAGAATAGAACGTCAAAAGAGACGATGAATGCCTAGTTGATAAGTTTTGGTTTACCCAAAACTTGTGGGGGGAAGCTATGCTTACAGCTTACCGAATACTCATTCACGTTCCCCAGAGCAAGACACATTCCATTCCATATAAAAAATGGAAAAGAAGAAAACCCCACTTGAAATATTTCCAAGTGTGGGCGGTATTTGGGTAAAGGGTAAGTTCTTAAACCCAAAAGGATAAAAATCGGATCGAACACCGTTGCTTCCGTTTGATAAGATATGCAACAAATAGTAAGCCATATTATTTTCCTATTCATAAATCGAAAACCCCGACATTCATATTAATACGGTTATCGAATCAGATAATGTTGAATTCTTTGAGAATATTTATCCGTATAAAAAGGAATGTGAGTCGTCTAGTGAAATATCTAAGCGAAATCGGGAAGAAGCAAAGGAAAGTACGTTGAATTAGAAAATTCCAAGATGTAGTAAACGTGAAGGGATAACTACTTTCTTTGGACCGGATTTTCTGACATTCTTGTTGGAAAATGAGCCTCAAACGTTTAAAGAAATATTGTCTTCCTCGGAAGCACAATATTGGAAGAGGCAGTCAATAGTGAGATAGAATCCATATTAAGTAGTCATACTTGGGAATTGGTTGATCTTCCTCCAGGAAATAAACCTTTGCGTTCTACGTGGATTTTCATAAAGGAAATGAAAGTTGATGGTACTATTGACAAATGTAAAGTAAGATTAATTGTCAAATAATTTAGACAACGAGAAGGTCTTCATTATTTTGATATATACTCGCCGGTAACGAGGATTACATCTACTCGGGTCTTAATAGCGTTAGCCATCGTGTATGGCCTTGAAATCCATCAGATGAACTTAAAGAAAACCTTCTTAAATGGAGATTTGAAGGAAGAAATTTACATGGAACAACCTGAAGGGTTCGTGGTTCCTGGAAAAGAAAAGAAAGTGTGTCGACTTGTTAAGTCACATTACAGACTAAGACAAGCACGCAAACAATGACATGCGAGATTTGACCAAATAATATTGTCAAATGATTTCAAAAATTAATAAGTGTAAACACATGTGTTTACGTTAAGAATTGTTTACCCTCGAATCCGGATAACAATTGAATTTATATGGGGTTTTAAGGATCCGTGAACTAAAAGATACAAAAGGCTTTTAGGTTGAGGAAAATAAAGATAAAGACTCAACAATTGCTGTTAAAGTAAATAATCGCAGAATATAATATTGCTTAGAACAATTGTGCTTGATGCCCCACAAGAATTTAGAGAGATACCCATTTATACATTCTGATTAAGGGTAAAAATAAGGTAGGTAAATTGATTACATCGTGGATCCCTGTAATTACGCCTTAATGGCCTGAAGTGGTTGAGAAAATCACGTTTGGGCGAGATATCCGGCGATGCTTGGTTATACGTTACGAGCCCGGCTTCCGACCTTGTGTGTTTCTCCATCCGGTGGTGATTCCTTTCGAGCTCTGTAACGGTCTCGAAATGACTCGACCTCGGTTGTAGACGTGGCCGTCGTTCTACCTTGCATCCAGGTCGGGTTCGATGGCCCCGACTTGCTCCGGACCGGATCCAACCCGGTCGGGCTCAAGCAAAAAAGGGTATCACCCAATACAGATAGTCCCCTCGTTTATTAGAGAGTAATGATAATAAACGATATGACCGGTGACGTGATGCCCGTGACGTATGGCCATACGCCAGGTGAAAAAGCCATCGAGTGCTCTGACCACGCCTGCTGCAGGCATTTAATGCTTCTCTTAATTATCTGTCGCTTCGTGTTTGTGGCTTCGTGATTCGTGCCACCGCCTCATGGAAAAAGTATAAACGACCCTTCCAGGTTCAACATTTCCTATCTTTCTCAAATTCTGCATTGGTTGTATTTTCCTTTCGTCTCTTCGTAAAGCTTTTAAGAAATGGCGAAAACTTCACAAAGTGTTCCTTCTAGACCAAGCTCGGCCGCGAGCCCCGCTAGATCTGATGAACATGCACCAGAACCCCCATTGAAAGCATTCACACCGACTGGTTGCTCGGTATCTGCCGACTTCCNNATAAAATCAGCTCCAGGCAAAGGTTTATTGTTTTGAGGGTCAGGCCATGAGCAGATCGTTGGATACTCAGATGCTGATTGGGCAGGATCACTTCTGATAGACGTTCTACGTCTGGATATTGTGTCTTGGTAGGAGGAAATTTGGTGTCCTGGAAGAGCAAGAAACAGAATGTGGTTGCTCGGTCTAGTGCAGAAGCAGAATATCGAGCAATGGCTATGGCGACATGTGAGCTAATTTGGATCAAACAGTTGCTCAAGGAGTTGAAATTTGGTGAGATTAGTCAGATGGGACTTGTGTGTGATAATCAAGCTGCTCTTC